AGTACCAAGCTTCTTGATACCCCTATCTGGAAGCTTTTTATGTCAGGTTTATTGGAAATTGTTCAATCGCAGCCTATCTTCCAAGGTCATCTACGTGACACAATCTCTGCGCAAATCCAGCAAACAAAGCTCTCTCTTAAACCAGAGCGCAGGCATATTCGAAGCCTGATGGATAAGTCCAGTAGTGTCGCAACCACACATTCGGTTGTTTTGGAGGGTGGACAACAGGTTTCTAATGTTGGCGAAGTCACCGTTTTCGAGGGATTTATCAAAAAGCAGAGCCAGTGCGTGAACTGGAAGCGCCGTTATCTTTGTATTCGAGCTGAACTATACCACAGCGAGGACGGCGACAGCAATACCCCCAAGCTCCGAAATGCAACTCTTTTTTTAACAATATCAAAGGAAACCTTGGCTCAGCAATGCATCCCGACCCCGTTTTCCGATATCGAGGACGCATTTCCGGTGCCTCTAAAGTATACCGGGACAAACACTCCCCACGTGTTTGCAGTTGCCTGCACAACGGGCAAACGCATGCTCTTCCAGGCTAAGTCGGATGAGGAACGCGACATATGGATGGCTAATATTCAGGATATGCTAGGCATCGGTGATAACTATCCATACGAGCAACCTAACTACCTTTAAACGAAAAAGGTACTGGTAAGCTTTAAATAATAAATGACTATATCTACATACACATCCATATATATAATGATATATTTAGTCTTAGAATTATCTGATTGGCGCTAGTCTTTTTGAATGTATACGTGGTGTGATACATGCCACCAATGAAAGCATGAGGTAAATTGTTCATTTTTAATTTGCAATGTTGTATCTTGAAAATCATTTTCTCTTTATTTTTTTTTTTGTAAAATGTAAATTGATTCACAATTTAGTGGCATTAAAATCCTTTCCTTGTCTACATATGGAAAGAAAATTAACGACAAGCTATGTTTTTTTTCCTTTTCTATGAAATTAGAAAATACTTTTTTCTTATATCCCTCAACCCTGTTAAAAAAAAACTTCTGGCAGTCTTTTTGATGTTATTATTTTTTTTCTCTTAGAATGTGAATATATCACTTTTTGGTCTCTTTCATATCATCTTATCGACAATGCTAATTGGAATCTACGGAACTAAGATTTATGTGTTGCATATTATTCGAAATGATTAACAAACTCTACGTAGTAGAAATGTTATTTCATGTAAAGGAAAAAAATATATAACATTTGTAAGAACATTTAAAATGCTTTAGTTTAGAATAAATGCACCTTAACCAGGGGGTTTCTATAGCTCCCATTTTTTAGGATTAAGGGAAAACTTGATCTAAGGAATTCTATGAGTACGCACGTATTTATGATTCGACCCTGTTGTTAGTCTTTTCAAGGAATAAAGTGGTTTAAACACAATTTCAGAAAGAATAGGCTCCTTTATCGAAAGAAATGGACAGAATTACAATTTTATGGATTATTCATGTGCAGATGCAACTAAATGGCTAATATAGTCATTGTTTGCTCCCCT